CACTACAGCATGTAAAAATATAATATAAGCTCTGGCGGACTTGTTTCTATGGTAGGTCTTAAAGGGTTAACTAGAAATATATGTAAAAAAAAACAAACAAAAATGATTTTCAATTTTTTTGTACTTTATTGTACTTTTTTGCAATTTAGTTACTATGAACTTAATGCATACATATTATTAAAATTTGGGATATAACGGTTGTATTGATGTATAGACACTTGAAATGCTCCCAAAAAATGGCACTACAGCATGTAAAATATAAAGATAAGCTCTGGCGGATTTGTTCTATGGTAGGTCTTAAAGGGTTAAAGACCACAAATGTTGGAAGAAAGTGTGTTTTGACAGTTAGATTAAAAGGATGCAAACTCTCCCCCCATTTGTAATGGAATTTGCAATTCCACCTGTAGTGTAAAAAGGTAGCTGGTCTCATTACATATGTTTTATTTTGTTACAAATGTAGCTCTGAGACACACCTCTCTTATCCTGATGTTACTGGAAGGTTTAAAGTTGATAAAGATTATTTTAACATAACCCATTTCTTACTCATGTTGTTAAACGTAAGTAGTCTAATGTATACTGCTTTGTGGGCAAAAGGGGGAATGTTTGTTTATTGTTTGCCAATGCAATTTAAGGTTGAATCTGTTAAGGCATAAAGAGTTTACAATGGGACTGATAAGCAGGTTAATTGCAGTGTTGGCATTACTGCTCAGAAATATTGTTGAAGCTTGACAGCAGCAGAACTTAGTTACAGATGTATTGTAAATAAGGAGGCTGATATAAGACAATTATTTTGTAGATGTATATTTGTGAGAAAAACAAGTTAATCAATGGGTTTAACCTGTGAATCTGATTGAATGTGATATTTTTGTTACAAGAGGAATGTGTCTGTCTAAACGAACAGAAAAGGATGGTGTGTTTAATAAAACAGACAAGGAAGAGCCTGTAGACCAAATGCAACTTCCGTCTCCTGTTTCTACTTTTCTGTATAAAACAGAAAGCATAGAAGGCCTGTAACACCTATGTCCCTAGCAGGTCCCTGAGGTCATGTGATCAGGGCTTACTTGTTATACACCATACAAGGCTGAGAACTAAGGGAGACAGAGCTTTTGCCACAGTGGCTCCCAGACTGTGGAACACTCTTCCTCTGAGTTTAAGATCTGTGGACTAAGTAGTCTCTTTTTAAAAACAACTAAAATCTCACGTTTTTGAAATTGCGTTGGTTAATTTTTTTGTCTGTTTTCTTTTAAATGCCTTGTGAAGAAGTTTGTGATGTTTGTTTTGTAAGGTGCTATATAAATAAAATTTTACTTACTTACATAACTACTTTGCATCCCGTGGGACTCCAGTCCCAATGCAGGTTCTCTTACTGAGCTCCTTGACAGTCTGACATGCAACCTAGCATTCGATCGACTGAATTTAGATCATGTGATTCCATCGATTGGGTGGCAATCAATTCCTTCATCCTCCAGGAACTGCCTGTATAGGCTCACTACAGGAAGTCAATCACTGTCGTGCACCAGACGGGAACCAAGACAAGGTGCACCCACACAGGGTCTGTTGCCTGGCCTTTAGAGTTCTGTTTGTCCCTTCATGGATATGCCTCCCATCACTGACACTGAAAAAGTGATATAACGTTATTCACATTTTATATTAAACAGGAAAATAATGTTGTATTTTGTTGCATTTCTAACTTGCAGAATTTGGAGGGAAGGCCACTTTGACAGCAGTCAACAGAACCCTACCAGCAGGGGGCAGTTTGACACTGACTTGTGATGTAAATGAATCTGCAGACTTAAAATATGAATGGTTCAGACAAACCTCATCTGAAAAGAAGTCCATAATAACTGATAAATCAGACGGAGTGATCTCTGTCTCTGAAGGAGGAAACTACACCTGTAGAGCTGAAGGGAAAAATGTCACCGTAATAGAAAGTGACTCAGTCACGGTTCAGGAAACTGGTGAGTTTAAACATTTCATTTGGAATAAAACAACAAAGTCTTGAAGAGCTCAGTTTGAAACTGTGTCTGTACAGGCACAGATGGAGGAGTTAAGTTTTCTGTCTTATTCTTGTTCAGTATATTTTTTAAACATTTGTTATATGTGTAGAAAGATTGCATAAAGTATTTATACACCTTTTCTTGTTACTGAAAAAACATTAAATCATATATCATCCAGTGTAATCATTGAATTAACAATGTATTCATGTATTGATCTGAACAGAAAAGTAAATAAATCAATAAAATACAATAAAACATAAAAATAACATATTCATTATAGATCCCTGCATCAGATCTTAAGTTAATAAAATAATATATAATAATAAGTGTTATGGAAACCTACGGAAGAGGATTAGGGCCACCGGAAAAAAATGAAAAGTGGGTACGTCGTTTTTTTTTCTTCTTTTCCTGAATTCTGAGAAACAAAGTCAGAATTCTGAGGAAAAAAAGTCAGAATAGCCAGATTAAAGTCAGAATTCTGATTTTAATCTCAGAATTCTGACTTTAATCTCAGAATTTTGAGAAAAAAGTCAGAATTCTCAGATTAAACTCAGTTTTTCTCAGAATTCTGGAAAAGAAGAAAAAAAAAGACGTACCCACTTTTCTTTTTTTCCCGGTGGCCCTAATCCTCTTCCGTAGAAACCATTTGTCTTTTACAATTTGCAATCACCTTGCAGAGGGACCATCACAGAGTCAGCAATAGCTTGTCAGAATGTTAAAGTACTTAAACAGCTGAGAGTCTGCACACTGAATTAATCCAAATATTAATATTTGAATTATTTTTAAAGATTGCTGCACAACAAATCATTCTTTCACATAATTATTTAAAAAGTTGCTGCTGGAAATGGTGATGTTTTTCTTTCTTAGTTCGTAACAGGATCGAAGTGAATCTGCAGCACAGCTGGTCTCAGATATTCACTGGTGAGACAATCACTCTCAGATGTGAGATTCAGGGAGGTGAAGGAAAGGTGTGGAAATATGAATGGACAGCACCCAACACAAACAGCCCTCCAACATCCAGTGAATACAGGACCAGCAGAGTTTCAGTGTCCCACAGTGGAGACTACAGATGTCGGGGTAGCAGTGACTATCTCTTCACAGGATGGAGTGATGCCTTCACACTGACAGTTTCATGTGAGTTGGACCATGATTCATGCTGACATTTCATGTTTTCATGTTTACATCTGTCTTAACAGGAAAACTCCAACAATGATCCAGCTGTCTGCAGGCAGCTCAGGACAACAGTTTTTCTCACTGTGCAAACAGAAAGGAGAGACACCATGGAGGCTCCTAAATATCAGCAATTTAAAGAGGAATGTACAGAGATGACAGTTTGATAAGAGAATGATAAATCAGTGAAATCTTTAGTTTGTTAAACAGTCTAATGTGTCAAATACAGTAAACATTAATTTCTGTTTTCTGTTAAACTTTAAAGGTTGATAATCATTTTCTCCTGAGACAAAATTATGATTACAATGTTTTTCTTTTTCCTCTAAACGCAGCAGGTAAATTTAGAGCCACACTGACAAATGTCACTTTTGATAAATCAACAGATAACCAAGACTGCAAATTACTGATGTGTAGCACAGAACAACTCTTTTATCCAGTCTTTAAGTCTGACGTAATTAGTCATTTCCGGGTCCAACTTCAGCTTCAGGTCCCAAAGTCAAAAGAATACTGCAGCATCACTGAGAGTTACAAACTGATTACATTCTTTTATCTTTAATAAAATGATCAGTGTGGCTGCCCTACCAGGTGTAACAATTAAGTTTAACATCCAGCCATCCATGAAAACAGAATTTATGAAATTTAACGGAGTTGGAAGTTAGCAGGACGTTAGCTCCCTAGTTTCCACCTCAACATGATATACCATGTTCTATTTAATTGAATTCAATTCAGTTCAGTTTTATTTATATAGCACCAAATCACAAAAACAGTCGCCTCAAGGTGCTTAGTATTGCAAGGTAGGCCTACAATTATACATTCAGAGAAAAAACCCAGCAATCATATGACCTCCTATGGGCAAGCACTTTGGCGACAGTGGGAAGGAAAAACTATGAAGCCCATCTTTTTTTGGACACCACTCAGACAGACAGCAATTTAAGGAGAGCATGCAGCTAAACATGTCACTCCTGGTCTGATTGGGGAGGGGACCAGATAATGTTACAGTCTGACATTGTTTTGGCAAAGTTCCACACCAATTCAATATTGATTTGAGTGACCTCCGATTGGTGTAACCGGGTGTCATTACTGCTGACGTGAATTATGATTTTACTGAATTTGCATTTACCCTTAGCCAGCAGTTTTAAATTTCCCTCAATGTCGCCTGCTCTGGCCCCTGAAAGATAATTGACTATGGTTGCTGGCGTCTCTAGCTTCACATGTCTGAGAACAGAATTGCCAATTACCAGAGTTTGATCCCCAGCGGGTGTGTCGCCGAGTGGGGAAAAACAATTAGACATGTGAACAGGTTGGTGGTGTACCTGGAGCTTCTGTTTAAGACTATGCTTCCTCCTCACCATCTACCAGCTGTCCTCTTTACCCAGCTGCTTGGGGTCTGCCGGGGAACAGCTAGCGTGGCCTACGCTACCTCGGCTGCACCGGCTACAGGGGCCTGGCTAGCTACGGGTGTAACAGAGTCTCCAATTCAGTGGCTTCCAGAGTTTCTACATATATTATATGTATCATTACTGCTAAACGAGTCCAAAGAGTAACTAAACATCTGACACAATGAGCAGGAAAGTGCAGGAGAAATAAACGCGAGTCCATACTCGCGTTCTCCTGTGCATTCTCGGCAAGTCCGGACTCGCCGAGAATGCACAGGAGAACAGACTTGCGATTTGTACAATTGGAACACCAGCGTACTTGATGATGTCAGAGGTCCGGAGTTTTTACTGCCGTCCCCTCTTAATTTAACTGTGATTAATAATATGTTATGAAGCTTAACTTTAATCTTAGCCAAACCGATTTACTCAGGAACAAATAAATCACGGAAATAAACCAAACATTGACATTTAGAAGTGATCTAAGTGACTTATATATCATGTTTAACCTCAGTAGCAAAATCTCTTTTAATAAAAATAATGTACATGTATGCCTTAATAAAAACAAACAGGTGAGATGTTAGAACACTTTTATATTCATTTTAGTGGACACTCACAAATTTCTATAGACAGCTGCTGGGGTTTTGAATTGATGGATTTCTTGATTTATTCATAAAAAATGCACGACACAAAGACAAATAATTTACTGTAAAAACCATTTAGATTTAAATAATATAAGCAGAAGGTAAGAGGGAGAGAATGGTTGGATAAAATATAAATCAGTTAATAAATTTTGTCATGATTTAGCTACAGCAAATTGGTTCCAGCTGTGGTGTTCAATTTAAGGACTCAACAATTATAAAGTTTAGTAGTAATAGTAGTAGTATAGTATATTTTAATACGGATTTTTGTACTTTTACTTTAGCAAGGATACCACATCTGTAAAAAGTTGATAATCAGCATTTGATCAGAGCATCAGCAGTTTCACTAATAACTACAGATATGTGCCTACCAGAAACAGCTCTTTGATCTTGATCTTGCTCTTTATGAGCTGAATTTATTAATAACCAAGTATTCAAATTTATGAATTTAAAAAATGTTTAAAATGTGAAAAGTGTTTCACCCTGAGACAAAATAATGATTTTAATGTTTTACTGTTTTGTAAACTCAACAGCAAGTAAACCCAGAGCCACACTGACAGCACAAAGTTCAGTCATACCAGCAGGGGGCAGTGTGACACTGAGCTGCTCTGTGGAGGGCTCTGCTGGCTGGAAGTTTGACTGGTTCAGACGTGATTCA